ACCGTCCCCGCCGCCGCCGCGGCGGCGCCCGCCTCCGGCCGGCCCAGCCGCAGCAGCGCTGCGGCGACGGTGGCGTCAGCGTCAGCCGCTGCGGCCAATGCCGCCGCCGCCGCCGCCGCTCCTCACCGTACCGCCGCGGCATCTTCCTCCTCATTCCTGGGAAGGTCCAGCCTTCTAGACAGATCTCTGCCGGCAGTTCGTGCAGCGGCGGCGCTGGAGGAGGAGTTGGCGGCGGTAAAGGTGAAGCTGACGGCGGCACGTGAGGAGCAGAAGAAGGCGGTGGCGGCTGTACGGAAGCTAGAAGGGGAGGTCCAAGAGGAGCGGGCGGCACGGGTGCGGTTGGAAGACCAGTTGGCGGCCGCGACCAGAGGCCGTGTGCCCGCGACGTGGTGGGTTATTCTCCTAAGGGTTTTAGGGTTTCAATTTAGTAGGAGTCTGTCTGTACGTGTGTTTGTCCGAATGAAGTCAGCGGACGAATGGCTGTGGTGGTGGTGTGTGTGTATGTGTGTGTATGTGTGTGCATGTGTGTGTATGTGTATGTGTACGGGCGCGTCCCTCTGTGCAGCTGGATCCGACTCTCTGGATGAGTGGGTGAGTGGATGAGTGGGTGAGTTCGCTCTTCAGGTTTGGGTCGTTACGAGGGAGCAACACTCAAGCACAAGCACAAGCACAAAAAGGGGGATTTTCGTATTTTGATTTCGTCGTGATTTTCCTGCGTGGGTTGGATCGTGGTTCGTCGTACGGTTGAGACGTACGGCGACGGAGTTTTAAGGAGAACCCCTTTCCTGTAATGATCCTGACGTTGTGACCCCATGTACCCCAACTTTTTCTCCATGGGTTGGATCTTCCCCTCGGCCACCTCCCCCCCCCCTCTCAGGGCTGAACCCGCCAGCTCATCGTCCCCGAAGAGTGGCGGCGAGCGGCGAACATACACAGGTCGTACAGGCTCCGTCGCCGCCGTCGCCGCCGCCATCGCCGGCGACGGCGGCTGGGATGGCGACACTGACGCCGCCGCCGCCGCCGCCGCCGGCGGCGGCGGCGTGAGCCCCCGACGGCCGCGTCCCGCCTCCGCCTCCGCTGCCACCTCCCCTTTGGTGACATCGTTGAGGTGGGAAGTACGGCAGCTAACGGCCACAAGGGACGCGCTGGCGAGTCAGCTGGCGGAGCTGAAGGCTTCCTCCAGGGTACAGAGGTTGCAGGAGCTGCAGGTTGGTTAGTTGGTTGGCTTGCTCGTCCCAACCCCTTTTTTGGAAAAAATATTCATCCCCTCCCGCGGCTCCAACCGGAATCTGATAATTGTCACATTTGCAAGACTGCATAACGTTCCTTCATCTAGTTTAACCAAATTATTACCGGTGTAATATATTTTAATTAATTGTTAATGTAAATCGTTCATTTGTGAATAATTTTTAAAAAATTAAGTATATATTTAAGTATCTTATATATTTTCAATTTAGATGTTTTTATTGTTTTGTATATATATTATAATTTTTAAGTAACCCAAAACCTGGCCCTCTCTTTTTTACGAATCCTCATTCCATCCATCGTTTCCTGCCCCCACCCGGCCCCGAAACCCCCTCGAACCCCAAAACCCCGCCCGACCCCTCCCCGCCTCCCCCCCCTCCCCAACACACCACCAAAAGGCCGAAGTGGAGCGGTATCGCGGGGAGGTGTCCCGCCAGATGGGGCTTATGCAGCTGATTTCCAGCCGGCTCGATGCGGCGGAGGGAGAAGCGGCGGAAGCCCGGGCGGCGCTGCAAAGCCGGCAGCACGACACGGCGGCGGCGGCGGAGGGAGGAGATGGCGGTGCCGTACCGCTGGCCCTGCCCCCCGGCAACAACCTGTCCAAGAACACCGTCCGGCTGGCGCTCGTGGTGTTACAGAGGGCTCACAAGCTCATTATGGCAGAGGCCCGACTAGTAAAGTGCGTTATGTGTGTGTGTGTGTGCCTGTGTGTGGTTGTACGTTTCGTATGTTTGTATGTTTGTATATTTCGTATGCTTGTACGTTTGTATGTTTGCATGACGTTGGTTACACTGCATGCTTAAACCCGGTAGCGGACCTTCAGCGTCGATCCCTCGGATGCTCCGTCGTCCCGCTCTTCCTCTCTCTCCCGCACTCGTAAAATCCACTCAACAGCGCCCCCCTGGAGCTGACGTACGGCGTACACCGTACGGCGTTCCCCCTCCCCCGTTCCCCCGCTTGCACCCCTCCATCCCACCCAACCCCCCACCCGGCGTCCCCAAACCCCCCCAATGTCCCCCTCCCTCCCCCGTCTTAAACACACACATCCCGCATTCCTCCCACCACCCTATTTTTCCCGCCTTCCCTCCTTCCCCCTGCCCACCAGGTCCTCATTCCCCCCGCAGCTATCGCTCCCTGAGCTAAGAGAGCTGTCCATCCAGCGGCCCAACACGGCCGGGGCCGTGGAGGCGCTCGTGTTTTTAAACTCACACATCGCCAGGTGGGGTTTGGGGTGTCGGGGGGTTGGGGGTTTGGGGGGTGCCAAAGAGGGGGGGGATAATTCACGACAACCAAAGCCTGGGGTGTGTTGATGTGTGTGTGTGTGTGCACGACATTTTTAATCCACTGCTCATCGTCCACTTCACCAGTTGACACAGGATGTGATTGAAACGTTTTTGTTTTTGTTTAATTTTTATTTTCTGTTACCCTTTGTGATGGCAAAACTGTTTTGTTGGTTGGAAGGTTGTTGGACGAGATGAGGGGGCTCCCTGGAGTCCCGCGACCCAGAGGACCGCCCACGCCAGCGGAGGCCAGGGAGGCATCGGCCGCCGCCGCCGCCGCCGCCGCCACCGCTGCCCCGCGTTCTGGAGACCTCAATGCACAGATCGCAGCTCTTTCAAAGATGGGGCTTCCTAACGGCGGCGGCGCCGGCGCTGGGGGCATTTCGAGTATCAAGGCTGCGAGGGCGGCGGCGGCGGTGCGCGCCAACGCGATTGCGGCGGCGGCGGCGAAGACTGCCGCCGCCGCCGGCGGCGGCAGTGGCGGCAGCCGCGGCGGCGCCGCCATCCCTAACCGGCTTGGCAACAGGCTCTCACCGGGGAGGACCTCCCGGCCAACAAGCGCCACCTCCCGTGCGACGGCGGCACCGACCCGTGGGTCAGCAACAACGGCGGCGGCGGCGGGTGGTGATGCAACGCGGCTGGGACGAGGCGTACTGCTGACGCCGGAGGCCGGTGACCCGGCGGCGGCGGATCAATTGAAGGAGAGGTTGTCGGAGTCCGTGGCGGCGCTGGCGGCGGAAGCCCGCGAGAGGGGTTTGACGGAAGCTGAGCGGTGAGAGTGCGGTGCGGGCCGGTGGGCCTTATGTCTCTCGTTGGAGCGGAAGGAGACGACCGCCCCGACGGCGAGCGGGGGTTCAGGGGGGGAAAGGCGAACCACAAACGAGTGAAGCTGCTGCCAGGGCAAGAGTGTACCAGACGTAGAACTGACCGAAAGGCGTCCGTGAAGACCGCGACCTCGGGATGACGCAGTGAAGATGATGTCGGAAAAACTACCTACCTAAGCCGCCAGGACTAAAAAAGCAGAGAGAGCAGTAATGCCAAGCCGTAAAGAAGTAGGTGTAGAAAAGTAGGTGTAGAGGCGGCGGAGAAGTAGTAAAGCACTGCTGTCGTAAAGCTGGAATAAAGTTTGCTGCTGGCCTGGAGAAGGGGGGACAGAAGGGGGAAAAAAGGGTGAGGGGGTGAGGAGGGTGAGAAATGTACCATTTATAGCTACCGTTTCGAGGGTGAGGTTTTTGAGGAGGGTGAGGAGGGTGAGAGGGGGGCGACACACGCAATTCCGAGTCGTTGACCGGAACAACAACAGGCGAACAAACAATTGGTGGTTTTAACCGACTCCGACATCGACTTTGACTCAACCGCAATCCCAAGGATAATATCGTTTCACCATCTTTTGCCGCTTGTACGACAGGGAGTCGCCGCGGGGCAGTGTCAACGCCGCCGCCGCCGCCGTCGCCGAAACGGGCTCGGCAGCTGCTTTGAGCCGTCAGGACTCGACGCGCTCATCCCACAAGGGTACGACAGGGTACGGCAGCCGTACGAGCGGCAGCGCCGCCGGGGATCAGCAGCATCCTCGTCTAACCCCCTCGACGGCGGAAGTGGAAGCGGAAGATACGGCGGCAGTGGAGTCTGAGAGGGGGGAGCCGTCATCCCACCGGCATCACCATGATCACCATGATCATCATCATCATCATGATCGTCATGAGGGGCCTTGTGAGCCGGAGGAGGCGCAGCAGCAGTACATTGAAGTGGCGGACGAGGCAGCTGGGGAATCGGAGGCCGATGGGTACAGTGGAGGGTACGGCGACGGCGGCGGCGGTGAGGCAGAGGTGGCGGAGGCGACTGAGGATCGCGATGTAAATGTGGCGGCGGAGGAAGCGGCGGCGGCGGCGGAGGCGGCGGCGGAGGGAGAGGGCCGAGAGACCTACGAGGATTACGACGGTGTTGGCGGCCAGGGTGGCGAGGGTGACGGAGGATATGCGGCGGGTGCCGACGGCGGCGGGCAGGAGTACGGCAGTGCCGGCGGCGGCGGCGAGCAGGAGGCGGGTGGTAACGGCGACGGCGATGACGACGGCGGGAACCAGTACGGCGACGGCCACGGCGGCGAAGACGGTAGCGGGGCTTATCCGAGCGGCGACGCCATGTCCGGGGCCCCGTGGTCGGGGGGCGAGGGTGTGGGTGAGGGTGCGGGTGGAGGTGGAGGTGGGGGGACTTTGGCCCTAGAACAGGAAGTTGAGGGTGAGGGTGAAGCAGCCGAGGAAGTTGGGGTTGGGGGAGATGGGGGCCAGGAGGAGGGGGTAGTGCAGCTAGGTGACGAGGAGGAGGACGCCGCCGCTGAGGAGCCTCTCGCCAATGATGGTGGTTACGAGGAGGAGGAGGAGGAGGTCTGAAACCCCCTAACGGCGACAGTGGGGGAACGGCACGAGGGCCACGAAATTAGTTGTTGCGGTTGCGGTTGGTTGGACCAACACACAACACCATATGCATGTATGTATGTATGTCTTTGTAGCTACGTAGAGTCTTCACGACGCGTCGATGCCCCGATGTCTACCCCTCAAAACACACACATACACACACACACCAGCATCAGGCCCGGATCGATATGTAACAGACACACCGACACACAGTAATACATACAGACACACGCTCTCTCGCTCACTCGCTCTCACATCCCAAGGTTCTAAAAGCCTAATCGGGCCGATGTGTTGGCCGACCACCCCATTCGAAACAATGTACTGTATAACAACAATCTGAATACGATCCTCTCTCTGGGCCTCCTGTCCCAAAAGGGAATATGACAAACCGTGTTTCCCCCCCTCTCTCTGTGTTCGGAGGGTTCGGGGGATACCCGGCTGCATCATCGAAGGGAAGGTGTGTATGTGTGTGTAGCTGTAGTAGCTGGCCTCGCTGAAAAGGCCTCTCGAGATGCAGGTGAAGCGCTTAGCGCGTATTTGTAGTTGATACATGTGCCGTACAGTGTACCAGCTACTGCAGTAGCGCTCTGCTGTACAAAGGGTGTTTACGAGGGGCCGCTCGCGTCCGCTCGCGTCCGGACTTCGAAAGTTTTGAGGGGTATTGATTTTGGCGCCCAAAGAAAAACGATTTGGCTCCCTGGGCGCATAGAGGACAGTTTCAGGAGTGGACGCCACCCAGCCCGTGTTAACCCGAGGAGAAGCCAGAAGCGCACGACAGCCGTTACGACAAAAGTACGGCTATTCCAGTTGTGGCGGTGACGATGGTGCATCACCAGCTTGGATGGTTCGAGTTCATATTTTTGGACGGCAGTACCACTGAAGCAGCTACGAACTCCGCAGAAGCATGCTTGTGGAGCCTTGTTGCCTGGAGCCTGGTTGGTACTAATACACACGACCCAGGATTCTAAAATTCATCTTGGGCCGGGGAAGAAATATTGGACGTGCGTTTGCTTAGTTTGCAATCCGGGGGGTTGAGATTCGGTCTCCTTGCCTTTAATCCAGCATATTCTATCGGTTGTCCACCTTGCGTTGGAAGAAATTTGACCTGTGTATTTGCAGTCATATCATCACATAAATCGTGTTCTGTGGCACTACCAGGTGCCCGTGGTGCCGGTGTTTCGGTCCCAAACCTGGCCATCCTCCTCAAGCCTCTTACTGCGCTGGAGTTCAGTGTGCCAGCGCTGGAGTTCAGTGTACCTGCACCTAATGCCTGCGTGCCCTCGTAAGCTTTATCCTTGCAAAAGCGATGATCTGATAAATAGTTTTATTTGACTTGGACATTCCTCGGACTCCATGCATAAGTGCGTCCTGGCCTGACCTATGGCGAAAATTTTACCGAAACAAATTCATTCCGTACAAGTTCTCATAGAGTCATGGAGTCTGGGAGTGCCGTCGGGGCTCCGAGCGTCGGGTTGTGTTGTGCGGAAGTTAGTGGAGCGGTTGGGGTTCCTCATCAATCAAATGAACTTTGCTTGCTAAGGGAATCGTCCCATGTCTAGGCATCTGGAGTTTGCATCTGGCACGAGTCTCTGTGCGCGTTTTTCCCGTTTTGCTGGTTGTCTGGCACTGAGGGTTCTCGGCCTGATGTTGGCACGTACATCCCTGAGAGTTTCCGTGCTTCCAAACTCACAAGTGCATATAGGCCTAGTCAGACTCATAAATAGAACCTACAATTATGATGCAGATTTCTATTTCTTTGGAAAAAGCCAACTAGGCCTAACTGTCTCGCAGCTAGGGTCTTGCGGACTATGGGAATGTAGAAGCAATTGAATACGGGGAAGTCATCGTGTGGATTAAAAGCGCTCTCGCAACCACAGTAAGAAACCTGGCGAAGTAGCGAACTAGAGAGAATGAGTACTGGCGTCGTCGCGGCAAGCGCCGCGGCGGTTGCCATGTACTGGTATTTGTTTAAGCAGAAGGGTCTTCAAGATGGCGTTATGGAGCCGGTGCTACCTGTCGAGGCGTGCAGAAATGCGCCTGACCATGCCCCAAGCAATTGGGGAGAGGCACTGTACCACGTGAAGGAGGTCCTGAGGTTGGTATGTAGCGCAGATATTTTTGTTTCGACCCGCTGCGGCAAACCAACGTCTTTCCGTCTACCTCCCACCACGCTTCCAGAGTAATGTAACGCCAGAAGTGAGCCCCTGCACGCAGATACATGTACAACGAAACGCTGGGCCGGTGGCATACTATCGACCTATTCGTGGGACTCGCTTACCTCTCGCACCGAGATGCGATCGAGTACCCGGCAGCGGACATCGCTGCGAGAGGCGCACCTGTTAGCCTGGATTGCAGCGTTACTGAGCAGATTAAGCTGATGGTGAGGCGCCAGACCGCTTATGGAACCGTGTATTCCCTGTAGCCGGTTTGCTCGGTGCTCCCCCAAACTCCCCCAAACCCCCCTCTCTCCCGGTCATGGCGAACCTTCAAAGAGTTGACCGGAAGACCGCCCCTCACCGTCAGCTCTCTGTCTCCCCTCTCCAGCCCAAAGCACTCCCCCTTGCCGTAGGGCAAGCGCAGGGGAATGAGAGCAAAACCAGCCTGTCCCTAATCCACATGCGTCAAAATCTCGCCCCACGTTTTTCGAAACGAATGCAGCTCCTCCCCACCCCTGCAACCCCAATCTCCCGCAGACCAGCAATAGTCCAAACCAGCAGCTGCGTACGGCGTCCAAACCCCTGCCCGCGCCAATCCCCGCAAAGTCTCTACTTCTCCTTCGCGTCAGGCACAAAGCCCATCTCTTCCCCCCCCAAATCCCATCCCGCCTCCAGACGAATCTGCCGTGGTTGCGATGTAGATCAAGGGCTTCTCAGGTCGTCTTCCCCCTCCCGCTCCCCCTCCCCTTCCCCCGAAGCCACCCTGCCAGCAGCACCCCCTCCTCCTCGTGTTCCCTACATTGCGCCCTCGTCTCCTCTGCCCCACCACCACCGATCACCACCACCGATCACCACCACCAGTAACCACCGCGACTGGCCACCGCTGATTCTTTGCTTTTTCAACTCTTCTGTTCATATTTCCCCATATGACCCACCCATCCACTCACCCCTTTCCCCCCCGCCCGCCTGTCCTGCGTGTACCCAAACCCACTCATTGCATCACCCCCTCCCACAACCCCCTTCTCCCCTCTTTCCCCCCCAACAACTCCCCCCACCACTCCCCCCCGCCCACCACACCACCCCCGCACACACACCAGTTGGAGCTCCAGGAGGCCCGGCGGTACATGCTGTACTGCAAGGGTCTCAAGCTACGACGGGAGGACATGCAGGCCAGGTTTTGGAGAGAGCACTTGGGACAGGGTGAGGAGTGAGTGGAGGGAAGGGGGGGGGAAAGGGGGGAAACGGGGGGGAAAGACGAACCACGTGAGAACGAGTGAAGCTGCTGCCACAAGGAAAGAGCGAACAAGAAGCAGAACTGACCAGTAGGCAGTTTTGAAGGAGGCGAACTCGGGATGCTGTAATGATGACGACCGCGGAAACCTACCTACCTACCTAGCCGCCAAGACTAAAATAAGAGCGGAAGAAAAGCAGTAGAACGAAGCCGTAAAGAAGTAAAGGTTGGTGTAGAGGCGGCGAAAAAGTAGTAGAGAACTGACGACGTGAGCTGGAATAAAATTTGTCGTCGGCCTGGCGGCGGCATTGACGAGGTTGGAGCAATACTGGCTGGTAAGCTGGTAACAAAAAGCTGATGACATGCAAGTGCTCCTCCCAATCCCCCAACACGCGCGCGACCGGGGAAGGGGAGGGCGGGTAATGGGAGAAGAGGGGATGTATGCAAACTCAGTTAACGAAGCATAAATAACGCGCATAACATGTCACATCGCGCAGTAATCATATTAATGATAATAAGATCACCACTCACCACCCGAACGTCAAAAAGATGCGGAGCTAACCGCCACCTAGTTAGCTGCCTTCACATACATACATGCATACATGCATGCATGCATACAGTTCACTAATATCTAAACACACGCGCACG